TCTTGACTTTCTTTTTTTTTTTTAAATATCATCCCTCAATCACTAACGCCTGAATTGAATTTCTTCGTAAAAAAAAATGGCCGCTAGGTTCACAGTTTATCAACCAAGTTTAAAATTTCATGTTGAGGCGTTGATTGGTAACTGGAGCTTTCCGATAAGTTGTCAGGGGAGTTCATATTTTAATGAGTTCATGTCGAATCAAGAAAAGAAATGTGACACTAAATTGAAAAACAAAAAGCTAACCCAGAACCATGTGATTCGTCGGAACCATTAGTTTTTGTTTTGATTTTGTACGTATAGCTCTAAATTCTATAGAAAACTAATTTGAACGGATCTATAAGTTAATCTATATTCTATGACAAATGACAAGCTAGGCTCTTGTGTATATTCTCAATATCTAGTTTACTTTCACCATAATTCCTTCGGATCTTTGTTAAAGAGGTAGCATGCGAGAGCTAAATCTGTCTATTGCAGGGCCTTTTTCTGACTTCAAATGTTATATAAATTATTATTTAGACATTTATTAACATGACAAACGGACAATCAACTCTCTATATCATGCATGACATTACGCTGGTCTGAATATTGATATTACCAATGAATTTAATTATTTAGGTCTGTAAAGCTTCATACGCTATTTTAAAAACATGTAACGAGAATTATTTTAACAAGGAAACTAAAATCTCCATATTTGATACATCACGTGTTTTAAGCTACGGATTTGAAATCTGGGGCTTTCATAAAGCGTCAGACGTAGAAAGAATTCACAGTTCATTTTGAAAAATAGTCATAAGTGTTCGTCAATCCACGCATAATTGTATAATTTATTATGAGCTTGGTTGTTATCCGCTATATATTATTAGAAAAGTTATAATATTCAAATACTTTATTAAGTTAGCTTCAACTACAAATCAGTGCATCTCCTAGAATTACCTGTATCAGTATACTGTATTGTTAATTTTTCTCTTTACGTAATATATTTATACATTTTAAATATATCAAAAATTGTTGCAAAAATTAAATTACCTGCACATAGTCTAAATATAGAAAGTGGTGGGTACAAAATATAAAAAGACAAAACAGAGTTTGTGATTTATGTAGCCTATCAGAGATTGAAGACGAAACAGATGTGGTTTTTTTACACAGTCGCTGGGTACGGAAGCGTATAGGGGCCATGCAAAATTTTATAGAACGTCTCGAGATCCTGCGATCCTGTGATACTTTCTCGAAATCCCGTGATCACCTGTTAATTTTCTCGAGATCTCAATTTAATCTTCTCGAAATCCCCTGATAATTTTCCTGAGATATTGACATCCTGTGTAAATTTTCTCGAGAATTCGAGTTAATGTTCTCGAGATGTTGACATCTTATGTAAATTTTCTCGAGATCCCGGGTTAATATAAAACTTTACATGATAGTATCTCCACGTTGTGAAGCCACCATTCGCCCAATACTTCGCACCAAATTTGATAAAAAAAAAAGTACTCTAACATTTTTTACAAAGGAAAACTGCTAACTAATGAAAGAATAAACGGACAATCGATAGGATACCCATGATTTACACTAAATTTGAAATATGATTAAAATCGATAGGGTTCATCTTCTTATGGCCCCAATACTTCACACCCAATATGAAATTCAAAACCCTGCCACGTTAGCTTTAATGTGTGAAGCTTTGAATTACAGACATGCTTGTTAAATTATTCCAATTTAATGTGTGGGCGACGTTTAATTGAAAATGTCATTTTTTGCATGGTTTTCAGACCATATATTGTTTTAGAATAAAGCTAGATATAGAGTTTATTGTCTTGTGGCACAAATGCTTCGGAGCAGATTTTAAATAAAAAATCTTGAAAAACTCTGGGCTCTAACACGTTCACAAGGTTTACCGGAAAATAGGAATTTGAACGATAGCCACGCAAAGTGTGGAGATACGCCCACGCAGCATCTATGCCTCAACAGCAAATTATTCGAAAGGAAAACTTGGTTGTTTAATAAATTGAATAAGGATCTAGCATTCATCAAGAAATTTAATCTTTATCGTGTTCACGTGATTGTTATATCTCTGGGACAGAAAACCTTATATTGCTGAAAATTAACAGGGGTCAGTCATCTTTGTCGCGGAACACTGAATATCGAAAATCCGTTAAAAACGAGGTTTCAAAGAATGGAGAGTATAACTCCGGAACGGAAGATCGCTAACCATTGAATATGAATGACCCCAAAGCTTCACACACAATTGTAAAAGCGAAGCCTCTATGACGTGAACAAGGCTTCCAGGGAGGTAAAGGGTGTGTGTGTGGGGGGGGGGGGGGGTACATTACGGAACAGAAGGTCAAAGAATGTTGTATATCGATAGGGTTCTTCCTCTCATCGTCACATTTGAAAAAAATACGGACAAAGAGGGTAACTCTCGAACAGAAGTTTGCGAAGTACTGAAAATCGAAAGGTTCTAGTGCTTCACACCACATTTGAAAAACAAAATCAGTTAAAAACTTTAGCCTCTAATGGGTTAACAACTTTTTCGGAAAAGGTGGACAACTCCAGAACGACAAGGTGCGCTAGAAGCGACAGGGACCGCCCTCTCATGGCACCAATACTTTACACTAAATTTGAAACAAATCCGTTAAAATCTGTAGGCTCTATCGTGGTATTAAGGTTTTGGGGAAAGTGTTGTGTGTGTGTGGGGGGGGGGGGTACACTACGAAACGACTGGTTGTGGGGCGCTGAGAATACGTTAAATCTACGCGCACGCATAAAAACACCTGAGATCTCGAGAAAATTTACATAGGATGGCAAGATCCCAAGAAAATTCACTCGAATTCTCAAAATCGTTAACACAGGATGGGAGATCCTCGAGAAAATTATTAGGGGATTTCGAGAACATTAAGTTGAGATCTAGAGAAAGTATCACAGGATCGCAGGATCTCGAGGTCTTCTACAAAATTTTGCGTGACCCCTATACGCTTCCGTAGCTGGGTTGTCTCACAATCGCTGTATTTTAGAAACATAACCTTTAGAAATGTTCATACAAAATGTTTTAAATTATCGGTTCAGTCTATTTTTTCAGCTTTATTTCGTAGAAAAGGGAATATTGAATAGTTATGACGTTATTATTTATTAGGAAAAGGAATAATGAATACTAATGACGTTATTATTTCGTTAAACAATCAATCATGTACAAACATGCATGGAGTAAAAACATACATTGCCGCCATTTATAGCTCCTTCAACGGCCCACGTTTATCAAAAACAGCATTTTAAAACGACATTTCTTACATTATATTATATTGCAGTAAAAATTGCTTTTGTTTGCTGTTAGCTAATTTAAACTGACAGGTTATTCTTATCCTTTCTACAGCCATTGGTGTCACGCCCTTTTCGTATCCGACAAGCTCACACACAAGTTAATATATATGTACTTTTGTGGACATCTGTTTACAGAGTGGTTATATGTCGTTGGGGGGATTGGATGACCGAATGGTTAGCACGTGCGCGCTGTATCATAAGGCCTGTCATTGAGTCAACTGGCGTGGTTTCGATTCCCTTGTTATACGTGACAAGGAGTAGGGTCGCCTGTCCATCCTTGTGGGTTTTCTCCGGGTCCTCCGGTTTCCTCCCACAACTAAAGACTCCTTCGCGCAAGCGAATTATTGAAATAAAATTATACCATATGTTAGTCCCGAAATGGCCTAGTTTGTGCCGAGTGAACGTTAACCCCCCCTCTCTCTCCTTCTCTCTCTCTCTCTCTCTCTCTCTCTCTTCCATATATATGTCGTTGGTTGGTCATTTAAGTTCGTTAAAGAAAAAAACAAAAACATGGCTCGTGATAATGCATTCTTGGATACAGTTTGAGGATGTGATGTGATGGCCTGATCATGTTCTATTGGATACCAAATAAATGGCACTCACTTAAGTATAGGCACATGAAGTGGGTTCCTGGTGGCTCAGTGAATAAGGGCACTGGCTCGCTGACCTGTGGGTTCTGAATTCGATCCAGATGTTTTCAGCGGTGTAGTACGGACGGTTTGGCGAAGAACAGCGTCTAGTCATTCGGAAGGGGTGTTGGCGTGCACGTAAAAGAATCCTTGACAGTTGAATTCGAAATAAGAGTAGGCCGTAGGCGCCGGTTTTCGGGCAAACTTACACTCATAGCACAGTATTTGGCGTATGGTCGGATTCATTAGCCGGATCGGACAGAAAAGTAGGAGGTTAAACTTCATTTAATTTTATTCCAGGTACATAAAGATCAGCCGTTATTTAAGGAACTCAGTCGGTCCTACATGACTATAATCTGGGGTTTTTTTTTAATTCAATCCCGACCTCTCAAATCGTAAACTGTTAGTCGAGATGTCGCCACCTTAAAAGCTATTCGATAATAAGCGGACTCTCGTAAAGGTAAGCACTACTAGTAAGCTCTGTGAATTACTAAGAGGACATATTCATGGCTTTAAGCATCTTCGGTATCCCCAATGGTATCTTCGGGTCTACTCCACAATACCCTGGGTTTATTCACGGAGTTTTCGCAAATTCAAATTATCTGCCCTTGATCGTAGGTTTATTCTACGAACAAATCAAAAAAAGGTTTACATACCAGTCTTATCGACATTGTTTATCTTCACCACAATAATCTTGGTTGCAAAAAAAAACGCGAGTTACTTCCCTTATCTCACTCGATTGGTCGATAAAAATAGCACAAGTATTAAAGGCGGATAATTTGACTATGTGTCTCCCCCATGAATGAACCCAGGGTTAGTGGAGGGTAACGGAACCATATCACTGGGGATACCGAGGATCGGATTTGAGTCGAATGTATGCATATTTTTAGTGGAATATTATTTCATACGCCAAAAGGTGCACCGTCCAAGGTACGTACTAGAAACACTTTCCCGGTATTAGAACCCCGGCATATTTTAGTATTTGGCCGCACAATTGGTCCACTCCAATGAAGAAATCTAATTAATACTATGATGAAAGACATTAGACTGAAATTGACTTACCTGCGATGGCTAGGTTTAATATGAAGAAATTCATCCGCGATCTTCTGTTCTTAGATAGGGATATAGACACGATAACTAGACAATTGCCAATTATAATCATGGCGAATAAAATACACAGGAACGTTATTTGTTCACTCTGAAAAAAAAAAAACATTTTTAAATAATAAAACAATCCAAGCAATTTATAGAGTTATTGTGATAGGAGAAATAGCTCTGCCAAATACATCCTCGGTTACCCAGTGTACTCATTCCGTTCTACTCCACTATACCCTGGGTTAATCTATGGGGGAGTTACGTTTTCAAGTTATCCGCCCTTGATGATTGTGCTATTTTTATCGACCAATCCCATAAATTGTTATTTGAAAAGGAAGTTGGCAAAGGTAAGTATCTCTCATCGGGCAATGTTAGGAGTTGGCCTATTCTAAATGCGTAATTATTAACAACCAATTATATATTGTGTTAATGAAGACCAGGCGTTCATATAACAATGTAAGGTCATTAGTTTTATTTAGAATCGTTCGTTCGTTCCCGGGAATTTTATGTCCACGTGATATCGTAGACAAGTTATTGTGAATCAAATTGCCAAGTATAAGTTCAATAATAATAAATATAACAGAATGACATATTTCAGACAAAGAACGAATAGTAATAATAATAACAAAAGTCAAACGTATAGATGTTATACATATTTGAAATCAACAACACATACTACAGATTTTGATAATACAATTAAATATAAATAAATTATAAATATATACATTATTTACATAAATCATTCAGTAAATGGACATGAATATGGTTATCTACCCTTATAAAAACGAAGGCGAAACGATTGGTTTGTAAACTGTTTTCTGATTGGTTCGTAGACTGTAGCTACATTCTAGGCCAGGGCAGATGATTTGAAATCGTGGAAACCCTATGGATTAACCCAGGGTATAGTGGAGTAGAACAGAATGAGTACACTGGGTAACCGAGGATGTGCCAAATATTGCTCATTGCCGAATTTCAACATCGTGCTATAAATCGTATGATTGATATAAACCGATGGTGTGATGCTGTCACCCTGCACATGGTGGTGTGTGAATGGTTTAAAGCGTGCGTGTTAGATCATAAGGTCTGCCATTGAGTCAAAAGGCGTGGTTTCGATTCACCGATTCTACGTGACAATGAGTTGGGTCGCCTCTCTCTCTCTCTCTCTCTCTCTGGAGACAACATTTAAACCCTTTAATTTAACTGTGTGTGTCTACTTCAGTGGTGTATTTTGATTTGTTGGTGGGGAGGGTGGGGGTCGTGATATAGATTTAACAAAAAGCGTCCAATAGCAAACTTGAAGATTTTATAACCTAAATAAATTTAAATCGGACCCAATAGCAACTTTTCTGCCCCCACTCCGTTTCGGAAATCCAGTTTACGCCCACAGCATGCAATTTAATCTACGGTATTCAAATAGACACCAATAGAAACGTCAAGAAACATTTCAATCTGTGAAGTTTTTATGTTCAAATGCCAGAACTTTATCTAACGAGTTCGTTTTTTAAGAGAGATCTGTGCTGGCCAACAAACTAATCGCGATTAATCTGAGGCACTCTGGCTAGTTTCAGATGTGTCACGACCTGACTGACACAGATCAACGAGTGGCTTAATTCAAAGTCACTTTTCTTTCCGCCATTGCTTCATTTCAGGGCGATTGGCTTGTGCCACTCTACTACAAAAACAATTGTAATTAAATATATGAGTGCAGATATTATCGCTAAAGGTTAAACGAATTAAAAATCCTATTATCATAACCATTGGTTCAGTTCATCATATAGACGTCATTGAGGTTTCGATGTCACGCGATTCATGTACGATTCATCAGAAACGATTAAATGAAATAAAACGAAACGAAGTTTACTTATCTCCACCAACCGAGCTAATGAAGACGGAAATGCAGCATGCGCTGTGCTATATGGGAAAATTTTCCCTGACAGCGACTCCTGGGATTTTTCTCGGTCAACACCTGGATCAAACTCGGGACCACATCATTAGTGATCCAGCGCCAGACTCACCGAGTTTCAAATGGAACGGCTCGTCAACACATTTTTAAAAAAAAATTTGTTAATTTACAGCCGCGTGCTGCATATTGGGTCTCCGAATGCCAAAGGCGCTATTTTCCCAAGAATTAAATTGACTAGGTCGATAAGAGAAGTTGGTAATAATTCTGTGACAGTACAAAATCAACTAAACAGACGTCCTTGTAATTATCCGACAATACAATATTTTAAGAATTATAAAATGTTAACTCAATATGTGCCAACCAAAATCTGTTCAAACACAATTAAGTATAATTATATAAGTAGCTCGCATTTAGAAGTTGTTCTAGAAGCAACATAATTAGGCAAACATTAAAAGCGTCGAACAACAATTTCTCAAATCTGAAAATTATTAGAGATAATCGATTTCTTGGTAAATAATCGATTTGGTTGTATTATCTTAAACTAAAATTATATATGAATAAAATATGAGAAAATGAACAGTTTTCTGTTTGAAAAGCAACTAATTTAAACAAATATTTGTCATCGCCTTAATGTCTTTAGTTGAGATATATGAAATATTTTCCTGGAAAACATTTTAAGATAAATATGTTTATAGTTAAGAAAGAAATCAATTTCTAGTTGTATCCCAGAAGTACACTTTAACCTATCAATATGCACAGTTAACGGTACAATATGGATTGCTTCCGATTAAATAAACATAGGTGGGGGGTTGGGGGCAAATTTTTGGCTCCCATCAGCAGCCCATGTTCTGCATCATGTTGTCAGTAATGTCTCTTGATGTATTTTACTATTTGCAGATTTGATTTGCTGTGTATATTAACTATTCGTTTGTGGTAAACTAAATTAAATCGTTTGGAATGCTCGTAAAGTAAGTTCCTCCCAATATTTAACGTATCAGTTAATATGACACAGGGTTTAACGTCCTACTGTTCTGCTCCTACTGGGCTAATGAAGACGGACATACGTCATGCAGTGTGCTATGAGGGGGGTTTTGCCAGGAGAGCGGCGCTACGGCTTACTCTTATTTCGAATTCCAAGTGCCAGGGATTATTTTACGTGCACGTCCCATCTGAACGACTATACTTTGCCCCTTTTAAGGTCCTCCGTCCTACATCACTGACCGGGGGGGGGGGGCCGGAAAATCCCGACGAACTTTCTCGGGCAGCGCAGGGATGGAACACGGGACCTCTAGGTTAGCGAGCCAACGTTCTTCTCACCGAGCCACCGAGGCTCGCGCCACAGCTGGAACAATGGGCCCTGTTGTGCTCTTGTATTGTATTGACAAATTATCGGATTTCTATAAACGCTAAGAAAAAATTATACGTTATTACGTGTAAATGCCATTAATATCACTTCTGGAAAATGTATGAAAAATCAATTTTTTGCTAGTGTGCACCCAGGTTGCGCAAGCAGCAACGCAATGTAATAGACTACATGTAGATGTACCAGTACCGTAATGCGGACATGCTTCTGAATACAGGGTTGTGCAACAGGGGGTGGTCACACGTAAACTGTAGATCATAAGTTCGGGGGAAAAGGGTCTGGAATTTGAAAGGATGGGGTCACCTATCGCATTCTCTTTTCTTCTAGGGGGAGGGTGGGGGAATGGTTAACGCGTGCGCGTTGGATCAGAAGTTCCGTCATTGATTCAAGTGGCGTGGTTTTGGTTATCCCTTGTACGTGACAAGGAGTAGGATCGCCTGTCCAACCTCGTGGGGTTTTTCTGTGTTTCCTCCTACAGCTAAAGACCCTTACGCTTGCGAATTATTGAAATAAAAATTGAACCATATGTTAGTCCCGAATGGCCTAGCGAATTATTGAAATAAAAATTGAACCGTATGTAAGTCCAGAAATGGCCTAGTTTGTGTCGACTTTACAGATTCAACCCTGACTCTAAATCTAGAATAATTACTTGCTGATAAGCTTAGTGTTTAAGATTCCCATTATTCACAACAATTACGGCCCTATACACCAATGTAAACAAATTGATAGGTCAATGTGTAAAAATGGAGTACAGCATTAAGAGTATATAAAAAAATGGTTATGCTTATTTGTTTTTCTTATTCGATTTTCTTTAAATGTACATATTTGTCTAAAACAAATATAAACATCGAGTTATTGATGTAGTTAATTAAATGTTTTAAAGCGTGACTTTGAATAAATAATTAAAATAAGGAAAGACATTCTTTAAACAATAACATCCCCGTAAGAAATATTTTCATCACAATTCTAAAACAATATTAATCGTGTTGTTTGCGTTTCTAAAAGCCTGCACACAACAATGATTAAATTTTCTTCGATTTTTAATCGCCCACGGGCCTCGGATGATCATTGGTCCGTGGTAAATTACAGTTTCAATGCATCACCGACAAACCATCTATAGGTAGCTAAATATCTTTCCAAATCTACTTTTTGATACCGGAAGTGTTGTTTTGTTTTGTTTGGTTTGGTTTTTTTTTTTGGGGGGGGGGGAGGGGCTAAGTCCAATGGATAATTGATTGGCCATCAATGCGTACTCCGGTAGCTCTAGTTTTCCCATCCTATCACAATCAACCCCCTCGGAACTGCCCCCGTTCGCTACTAATTTTTTGTGCATCGATTGACTGATTTCGATTTTTGATATGATGTCACAATTCCAAGATGGTGGCGATGACTTTTCAGTGAGTAAGACACTGGCTCGCTAATCTGGAGGTCCATGTTCGGAAAAGTTCCTCGGATTTTTTCGTGGTAGTTTGTGGTGTCACTGCATGGAGTTGATATATGATTGCCGTTCGTTGCAGATTTTAGTTTAATGTCTCAGCAGTGGCTATATCTTCAAATATAAACGTTTCAACGAAAGCAGATTATTATCCCACAAAACCAACCAACGTATATCTATATAAACAGAAAGTGTACCGTATACGCTATTGTCTACGATATCACCCTTGGTGGAAGTATACGTAAAACTCAAATGACCATACGCTCAAATGACCATACTGCTTCTGCCATAATGGTCCAAATCGTCTTGCGTGAAAACTTACACCATTCCAATCCATCAAGTATCGACATTTAATTATACAAAAACTACGGTGTAAAACCCAGCATGAAAAGGTTATTTGTCCGATGTCTTTGATAAACA